GGTATATGAGACGGAACTATTTGCGACGGCACACTTGCCGTCTCAAAAAGTCACTTTTTGTGACGGCAGAAAATGCCGTCTCAAAAAAGCAGAGTATTTGCGACGGCACCATTTGCCGTCTCAAAAAAGCAGAGCATTTGCGACGGCACTATTTGCCGTCTCAAAAAATGAGAGTATTTGCTACGGCAGAAAATACCATCGAAAATACTCTCATTTTTTGAGACGGCAAATAGTGCCGTCGCAAATGCTCTGCTTTTTTTGGTCATTACAGTTGGCAAATTTAAGATTCAGTCCTTCAAATTTAATTTGTGGCGTCCACTTTTATTGTTATTTATTTTTTATTTTTATTTTTTTACATACAACTTTTGGTTTTAAACCAAAAGACATTTAAATATATTATTTTAATGCATCAATTACTGAAGAATATGCCTTCTGTGAAAAAAAGTTATCTAGATATTCCTACAATTCATGTTGAAATCATAGCATCTACACTTCCACTCTTTCTCCTTAAATATATTACATTTTTATGTTGTTGAGTTTCTTTGGACAATCAAGGCATGATTGGTACCCTAGCTGTGGGCAATGCCACATTGAAGCTTGTGGGGTCATTTGACCCCATTAATAAGTTGGAATAATCCTACAAGATATATGTAATACAATTTTCAAGTTTTGAGTGAGACTACTTAGGTGATCCGAAATATATATAAAGATGATCTTGGGGTCAATCTTGTCTTTGTATTTATCATTTTGGGGCCAATCTAGTTAGCAAACAAAAAATATGACTTTATTTATATTTATTTACTGATTGAGCAGGATTTATTTCCTTTTGTCTTGTTTCTGAATAGATGAATTGGATTATTTAATGAAATGAAGATGAAATTGAGTTAAAAATGTTGGAATTAGGATTCTGCTTTTGTAAATTAGGGTTTAGATTTTTAAAATTATGGAAAATTACATTGAGTTATAATTAAATAAAATTTTAAATTTTTTTAATGAATAATTCCACCGAGGTTGATTGTATGCTACTTATCTTGGTGTAAAAAAAATTATTGTATAACCCATCAAACAAATTTGTGGAGGCTCCACTGCTCCCTTGCCTCTCAGTTTATCACCGATTATGCAATGTGAATCTAGTATCTTTGTGATTTTGGGTTGTGTATTCGAATGGTTTTTGATTGCCAGAACCTACACGAAGGGAGGCAAATATGATATTCGGACAACTACTTGTGCTTCTCACTGTTCCATAGTCTAGACTCTGTGCCTTCTTTTTTAATTTGAATTATTAGTTTGTGTACTTTTTTGTTGCTCTATATTTTTCTAATTGTTTATTAATTTAGTTAATTAATTATTTGTTGTTCCTATACTTGAATTATTTCTTGAATGTTTTGATAGTTTTCTTGGATGTCATCACATTCCATAGTAGAGTCACATTCATCAACCACCATGGCCACCACAGTCCGCTGGTCTGCTTATGGGTAGTTGTGTGTTGCAGTTGTGCTTTCTGTTAAACCATCCAGTGGACACTGCCAAAATTGATATGTCATCAAAATGGTAGTGGTGGTTGTATTTTGATAGCTTGCCACCCATCTCTCATAATCAGTGAGAGTGAGAACCTATTCCTTCTTATTATTGGTCACAAGTGATGTGTAGAGCTTGCCTACGGTGCAGTAGTTGGAATCATTCTTAGCATTGCATTTCCCAGGAAGGAAGGGGTTTTCACTTGGCTTACAAACCTGAGCTTCAACCTTTAGAAAAAATGCGTAACAAGTAGCATAAATGGTAGTCTCAGACCCTTAGTGCACTACTACCGTTCAGGGGAAAAAAAAAAAAACATAGTGCACTACTAGGCTCTTGCCCAATGTAGGATCTTGGGAGGGTCAGATGTATGCGACTTTATCCACATGAGTGGTGAGGCTATTTTCGGGATTTGAAAGAGAGATAAATAGAACACATATGCCTTCGAATTTGTTTTAGGCTTAATAATGGATTAGTTATTGGAAATGATTTTTTTTTTTTTTTTTTTTTTTTTTTTTTTTTTTTTACGATTCTCAATGGATATTCATCTCAACGAGATAATATGACCTCATTGTTTAGACTATGTTAGAGGATCAAGAAATATTTTGGTGGATATATCGTCGTATAAACCATTTAGTTTACTTAGTTTTTGAATTCACACAACCATGAATTGAGAACAAAAGATATTCTAGCAAATATATTATATTAAAAGTACATAGTTTTTTTGATTTCATACCATCATAAATTTAGAAATCTAACAACAGGATGAAGGGACACACAAACTTTAAACTAAACATTTGTAGTTGAAAAAACTTAAGCATCAGACCAAGTAATATCCAGCTCGCCCCAATTATCATGAGGCACGCCTAAGGCTTCCCACACTGCTTTTGAGGCATCGACAATGTTATTAGGACATGGGGGCTGATAGTCATGGTCTCCATCACATCCCATGGTGGAGTCACACTCATCAACCACCATAGCTTTCACGCTCCGCCCATTAGCACTTATGGTGATGTAATTGTGGCACCTGCTTCCTCTGTTGTACCATCCAGTTGATAGTGCGACAACTGGTGTGTCATCGGGGTGGTACTTGTTGTCACATTCTGTTGGGCCACCACCATCTCCACCCTCTTGGAAGCTGTTGAGAGTAAGGACCGCCTTAGTTTGACTAGAAACTATTGGCGAACATCTGTACATTGGGTAGAGTTTGCCTTGTGCACAACAGTCGGAGTCATTCTCTGTGTTGCATTGTCCAGGAGGAGGTTTTCTCCCCCTAATGTTGCCCACTAGGTTTGCAAACCTGAGCCTCAGTTTCTAGACATTGTGCTACTAGAAGAGTGAGCAATATAAGAAGAGATGCTCCCAATTTCAAGGTCTTCATTTTCTCTCTCTGTAGACAATGTGTTTTAGTGCTTGAAATGAATCATCAGATTGCAAGTTTCAGCTATAAATAAGATCTTCTGTTGGGAAAAAACAATGAAGAGTTCAAAATTTTGAAGTTACCTACTGTCTATACAGGCCAAGATAGCAGCTCTAGCCTGTTTAGTTAACTAAATCACTAAAAGCTCGATTATTAGTTATCGGTTGCACTGTAGAGTTTGATATGTAATACTGATATATAGGTCCATATGTTGATGGATCGGGAATAGTGTTTTTCAAATATAAAATTTTGACAGTAATATGTTAAATCTTTTAAACGTTTTGTTTAATGGTCATCCTATCACATCGCTATTGCCATTGCCATTACATCACTTGCATTGTTGAATTAAGGTTTGTTTTTGTTTTTGCTTTTGCTTTTGTTTCTGTTTTTTGGTTTTTTCCCCCTGCTCTGCTGTAACGTCTGTATTTTACAAGGATGAGATTAAACAAAGTAGACCATAGACATACACAGCCAAAGCTGCAGTCTCAATTGGTTGCAAGTTATTTTTTTTGAAGCAAAATAAATGAAGGGTGCGTGGGTTTTAGTTATTTCTGTTATTTATGTATGAAAGGATCCTTGTTGGTTATTTAGGTTTCGTTTTGCTGTGACTTGAAAGCTACCTTAGCTAGGCAACCCATTTGTTACGATAACCGTGGCTCATTGTAAACCTATTTTCGATAAAAAAAACTCAATTTAGCAACTCTAAAAAGATTTTAAAAAGTTCATTTATTTTAAAAAAATATGCAATCAAATAAGCTAATTTTGTAATTAATTCTGAACATGTCTTATGATTCCATGTTCATGACTATTTGCTTAAAGCATGCCAAAATATAATGAAAGGGATTCCTTTTTCTCGGGTTTAGTCCAGTTGACTGGGAGAGGGCCAAAGAGTCCTACAACATTGGGGCTCAATGTGGGACCCACCGGTCATTTTTGTTGGAAATTTTAAGATTCAATCTTTCAAAATTTTTTTTTTGGTAGGGCCATTTTTGTTTTGTTATTTATTTGATTTTATTTCAATTTTTGGTTTAAATCGAAATGAAATGTTGTTTATTTATTTATTATTATTATTTATATATTTTAAGGCATCATTTACTAAATAATATCTTTTGTGAAAAATTATCTAGAATCCTAAGATTCCGATTCATCCATGATGTTGCCATGTTGAAAGCTTGCGGCCGTATTTGACACTATCAAATTGGAAGTATATAAAATTTAGATTTTTGGGTCAATCTAACCTTTTTTACTTAGAACTTGAAGGGCATTCTATCCACACAAAAAAAATGTTATTATTATTTTTACTTATTGGGCATAATTGGTTATTTATTCACTTGTTTCTAAATAAAATTAATGCATTACTTGATTATACTAAAATGAAGTAGAGTTGAAATTGTTTGAATGTGAGTAATAGTTTTGCAAATTATGGTTTTGATTTCTAAAATTGTGGGAAATTATGTTGAATTGAAATTAAATATATATATATATATATATATATTTTTATGAGTTATTTCAAGAAGGTTGGTTTCATGCAATTGTCCTGGTGTTAAAAAAAAGAAAGAATAATCCTAACAAAGAAAATTCTTGGAGCATTGCCCCATCTATCACCAATTGTGTAACGTGAATTTGACATCCGTGAATTTTTGATTTGTATTTTGGAGTAGCATTCTACTGTTAGAATTGAAGGCAGATGAATATGACTTTAAGTTAGGACATTGACTTGGTGCTTCTCACTGGCTCAGCAACTATATCCTTTTCTTTCTTATTTAATTTGAATTATTATTGTTGTTTATTAGTTTTCTTGCTCTGCGCTTTTATTTGTTTATTGATTTAGTCGTAATTAGTTAAATTTTTATTTGTTTGTCCTACACATTATATCTTGAATGTTTTGATGGTTTGTCTTAAATGGCACCAACAATTACTACATTCAACTGCCATGGCTGCAACTCTTGGCCAGTGTGCTTATGGTTCGGTTGTGTTGTATTTGTGCTATCTGTTAAACCACATTGTTGACAGCGCCAAAATTGTTTTGTCAGTAGAGTGGCACTAGTGGTTGCATCTGGATGGCTCACCACCCATCTCCACCCTTCTCATAACTAGTAGAAGTGAGAACCACCGCCTTGGTATTGTTGGTCACAGGTGGTGAACACCTGCAAGCGGTGTGTGGAGCTTAGTATAGCTTACTACAAGCCATTAGTTTACCTAGTTTTGGAATTCAAGCAACAAAGAATTGAGAGAAGGAAACAAGTAGTATCAACATGTTGAATACAAGATATTGTAGCAAATATATCATATCATAGTTTTTTGATTTAATACAATCATGAATTGAGAAATTTAACAATGGGATCAAGGGTCCCACAAACTTTAATTGAACACAAAAATCAGCTTAAGCTGAAAGTTATAAGCTATAAGCTGTTTAGGCATAAGCTATAAGCACTTTCCCACAGCTCTACCAAACGGGGCTATTGCAGCCCATGGTGGAGTCACACTCATCAACCACCATAGCCTTCACGCTTCGTCCATTAGCACTTATGGTGATATAGTTGTGGCATCTGCTCCCGCTGTTGTACCATCCGGTTGATAGTGCCACAACTGGTGTGTCATCGGGGTGGTACTTGTTGTCACATTCTGATGGGCCGCCACCATCTCCACCATCTTGGAAGCTATTGAGAGTAAGAACCGCCTTAGTTTGACCAGAAACTGACGGCGAACACCTATATATTGGGTAGAGTTTGCCTTGCACACAGCAGTCGGAGTTATTCTCTTTGTTGCATTGTCCAGGGGGAGGTTTTCTCCCCCTAATGTTGCCACTAGGTTTGCAGACCTGAGGCTTAGCTTCTTGACATTGTGCTACTAGAAGAGAGAACAAAATAAGAAGAGATGCTCCCAATTTCAATGTCTTCATTCTCTCTCTCTCTCTCTCTCTCTCTCTAGACAATGTGTTCTAGTGCTTGATATGAATCATCAGATTGCAAATTTCTGCTATATATAAGATCTCATGTTGGAAAAAACAATGAAGAGTTCAAAATTTTGAAGTTACCTTACTGTCTATAAAGGCCAAGTTAGCAGTTCTAGCCTGTTTGGTTAACTGAATAACTAGATACTCTATTATTAGTTCATCAGTTGCACTCTGGAGTTTGATGTGTAAGACTAGTTCCATATGTTTAAGGGATTGAAAATTGTGACAGAGATATAAAATGCTGAGAATAATATGTTAAATCTTCGAAACTTATTGTTTAATGGTCCCCCTGTTACATCACTATTGCCGTTGCTGTTGCCATTAAATCACTTGCATGGTTAAATAAGTTTTTTATTATTTTATTTTATTTTTTCATTAGTAGTTTACAGCTAAAGCTGCAGTCCCAATTGGCTGCAAATTATTTTTGTGAAGCAAATTAAATGATGAAGTGTGCATTGGGTTTTAGTTGTTTTTTTTTTTTTTATTGTTAAAATTTTTAATTTTTTATTGTTGGTCATACAACGGAGATCAACAGAGACAGTAGTGAAGTGATGTGATACAGTGACGGTAGATGGTAGTGATAGGGGAAGTGGTAGACCTAGATTGACGTGGATTAGTGTAGTAAATAGATATGTGAATCTCCTTAATTTGACTAACGAAATGGCATTGCATAGAGTCGAGTGGAAAATAAAGATTCATGCAGCTGGTCTCATTTGATGGAACTTAAGGCTTGGTTTGGTTTGGTTTATTGTTCGAAATTTTAGGATTCAATGTTTCATAATTTATTTTGTAGGGTCAAAAGTTTTTGTTATTTGTTTTATTTTATTTCAAATTTTGAACTTCAGGCTTCAATTACTAAAGATGTCTTTTGTGAAATATAATCAAGAGTCCTATGATTCAGATTCATCCGTGGGCCATGCCTTAAGTTCAAAAAACTTACTAGATATATGTAGCAAGTTTTTAAAGTCTTTAGAGAGATTACTCTGGTGATTCAAATGGTATATAAAATTTAGATTTTGTGGTCGATTTGGTCTGTTTGCTTAGCACTTTGAGGTCATTCTAAGGAGTCTCTAAATGCATCCCATAAAATTGTTGACATTCCATTTTTCTTATGTTTTTAGTGTGGTGCTAATTACTTCCTGCTTTTTACTTTTTCTCCTGAACCGCCACCCCTTCCTATTTTTTGTGGTGGCACTGGTGGTTGATTTTTGATGGCTCGCCACCCATCTCTACCGTTCTCGTAACTGGTAAGAGTGAGAGTCACCGCCTTTGATGTTAGTTAGAATCATTCTTATCATTGCATTTTCCAGGAGGGGGTTTCCACTTGGCTTACAAACCTGATCTTCGATCTCTAGAAAAATATGCAAATAGTAGGATAAAGAATAGTCTCTCTTAGTGCCCTTGGCTCTTACCAACTTTTGGATCTCGGAAGGGTTAGATGTATGCGGTTTTAGCATTGCGAGCGAAGAGGCTATTACGTGATTTGAGAGAGCAAATGCTTCTCTGCATTGGGCTAGTAGTTGGAAATGAAATTTGTGTTAAGTCATAATCGATATTCATCTTAGCAAGATTATGACCTTGTTTGGTAGGGGTTTATTTTCAGCTTATTTCAGCTTTTAACTTAATTTAAGTTATTTTGAAGTGTTTGGTTCAGTTTAGCAATACAACTTATAGTTTTTTGTAAGTCAAAAATTGACTTATTCTTTGAGTGGGGAGGAGAAGCTTAATTTATAAGTCAAAAATTAGGTTATGTTCACAATTATAAGTTATAAAGTGTTGGGCTATAAGTTATAATCACTTTCTTACAGCTCTACCAAACGGGGCCAATGAGAGCTCATTTTTCATACTAACCACGAATCTCAACAAGAAATATTCTGTAGATATAGCATGGTAGAAATTATTTAGCTTACCTAGTTTTGGAATTCATACAACCATGAATTGAGCACACAAAAGAAAGCAGTTGTAAACACAAATTTCGTCTCTTGCAACAAAGAGCAACAAATACATGTTCAAAATTTGATTTTATTAATCTGTACTATTATTAATAAAAATGAACAAATCATTTGGTGTCCAAATGTTAGTGGATTCTCTTTATGTCATGTGTCTTTATTTTCTTATTTGAAATAAAAACAAAAATCAAATAGTCAACAAGAGTAAGACTCAAACCTTTGACCTTGAGTTTAATAAATAAGACTTACTACTTGCATAACATATCATATATAGTAAAAGGTTATTTTTATGGGGTACTTACGTGCAGGTCTTAATTCGTAGACTTATTGTCTAATAGGTCTTATGAGAAAAATTTGTCATAAAAAAAGTCATTAATTGTAAATTTTAGCGACAATTTATAAAAATCATAACAAAAAAAGTCACTAATTGGTAATTTTTAGCAACATATATAAAAATTTGTCATAAAAAAAAAATACTTTTAACGACAATTTTATCAAGATTTATTTTCAACAGGATTTGATGAGAATTAAGTCTAACTATTAGGATCTATTGATAGTTTTTCTTATTTTTTTTATTTATTTTTACATATTTAAAATGAACACGCATCATGTGTGGCACTTGTTAGTTTAAATAAAAATGGAAATGGGTACAATCCTTAATGGTTTTACACCATATTACCATTGGTGAACCTCTAATTTGTTCTCTTTTTTGGGTTCGGAGCCATTGGATTTCATGAGTTTGATCTCTGAATCAAACACTAGTAGTTTTTTGCAAATTTTCAAATGCAAAAAGATTGAAGAAATCTAATCGAGATCTAAGTAGCGTAATCTTGAATGGCAGACCGATGAGTCTTGAACTTGTTGAATTACTGGGAAGTGAAAGAGAAATCCCTACAAATTTTGTGTAGAAGATTAATCTTTAAAAGTGTAAATTTGTTGAAGAACAATGGAGACTTGTTGAGCGTGTTCTTCTTCAATGGAGGCGGCAAGTTTTGTAGAGACTTGATATGAGTTTTGTATAGACTTGGTATGAGGAGTGTGAGAGAACTTTTTGGCAGAGGTTTGGTTTTTTCTTGTAGAGACTCTGTTTTCTTTTTAACAAATGGGCTTGTATTTATAGGTCGGTGGGGCTACATAATTTTAGAATTCCCCACGTTAAATACTTGTTTGGCTGAAATTAAGAGAATGTCTCCTAGAATTTTAGAAACAAATTTGAATTTTAGTGCGTCCATGTTGAAGATGCTGACATTTGTCATTGAGGGACTCACATCCATGGGTTGATTTAGTTTGTTACCCCATACTGTTAGAATGGTTGACCCATGCTGTTAGAATCTATGAAGCATGGACACGCCAAAATAGAAGTCGTGGCGGTGTCGGATACGAAGACACGCTAGGGACACATACGGGACATGCCAGATGGCTTGTCCCTTTAATTTAATTTATTTTTTTACAAGGGACACCTAGAAAAATAT